ACGTTTCGGCATTATCGCATTCCGTCATAAAAGTTTTAAACATACACAACACACTGATCTCTCTTCTTATGTTACTTAACATAAAATATTAAAAATATGTATAAACCCCAAAAGATGTTGAGAGTTAAATACCCCACCACACATTTCATCTCGTTGGTTTGATTACCCAAATAATATTTGGTGAAGACGATCTTCATTATGAAATTTCCTCTCATGTTCAAATTTTATCCTCAGACACCCTCAATCGGTGTTTTTCCTTTAACATGAAATACAACGTTTCACGAAAGGTAAAAATATGATTTTTATATTATAATTTCTATAATTCTAGATAGTAGACGTGAAGTTATATTACATAATCCCGCATCGAACAGAATATGTATTATGGTCTTCTGGGTTATAACGCCACGCAGTTCCGTAGGTAGCTGCAAACTTTTTCCGTAAAAAACCACCTGCAGGACGACATGGCTTCAGAGCCTAGAAGGCCACATTCCACTCAGGCGTAAGCGGGCTTTGCACCTTGCTGGCAGAATGCTCCAAACACGTTCAGCCACGACTCGTATAAATTGTACGGTGTGTGACCAGCATCCACTTTGTATTCAGGATTCATGTACCACGTCGTAGACAGAATCACAGTAAGAACTATGATCGTTGAAAGCACAGCACCCCACAGTGTGGAGACGAACGGAGATAGAATATGGCTCAAGGAGCTGACTTCCATCCCAGGCTGCTTGATGTGGACCATTAATCTGCCAGTGGACACGAAACAGAGAATGGGAAATGATTCAGCTACGTACCCCCTGCCAGATTTGCATTAACGTCTCAGTGCATTTTCAGACTTTGCTACCGGTCTGAGATAAACACGCCTTTTCGTCCGATTTTCGACACTTACTAACCAGCCAATGGCAAGCTCAACAAGTCAAGAAATTACCTGCCTTTTATGGAACCAAAAAACCCAACTAACGGCCCCTATCCAAGGCCACATAATTCCAGTTTCTTTACTACACATTTTAATATTATACTTCCATACTTATATCTACTTCTTCTGAGTGGTCCCTTCCCTTCAGGATTCCAAACTAAAATTTCGTATGCTTCTATCATTCCCTATGCGTGCTACATGACCCGACAATCTCGTTTCAATATTAAAATATTCTCTCACTTCACGTTCCAGATCGGTGGTAAGAAACCAACTGCATCCATACGATCCACCATGTAGGCAAAGAAGCTGATTCCAACATCAACTTCTTTTCTAACGACCATGCCTACCGCGCCACTCCATGACCCGTTGTCCAGTCTAAATCCGAACACTGCATCTCTGGGTGCTACATAAACTGTACTGGAAATTATAATGTCGCATGTTAAAACAGCCAAAAAGAGCCAAAGTTCTCATTTTGGTTAAAGAAAAACGAGTTTGTACTTCAGCCAAAAAAGTCAAAGCAAATTTCATTTTTAAAATTCGCATAAAATTCTCACGTGAAATTCATTCGACGTTCCATCTCATTCCATAGTTCAGTCAGATATCCAGCGTACTTAACAGGTTTCTTATCTCTGTATTTTGCCACGGTAAGATATGGATTCTGTGAGATAGAAAAGTACAACTTTCATTAACATCGGTACTAAATTTATAAGAGCATAAATAATTATTTTGTAAAAGTTTCGCCCGTTTTGACACTACGTCACACCATTGAATAAATAATTTACAAATCTATTACAACTACATTTAAAAGCCTTTATTTACGTGTTAAATCACAACAAAATATGATTAAATTCATCAGATCCCGTAAGGTACGTTCATCACAGTCTTCACAACATCAAGTTATCTAACCTTATATTTCCTTACCACATTTTCACACTCAACTTCTCTGTGATAGGCTACCAATATCTACTCCTAATATAATGGCCAATGTCCGTCACGCTTGACTGGACGAGTGTGCAGTTCTGACTGTTGCGACTCTGGTAGCTACAAATGCAAACGAGGCTGCAGCGGTGTCTATGGTGGGGTCTGGCGGAGTCAGCACTTTTCGGGAGCCTGGAGTCAGGCGAAAGATTTTGTACCGGTGCATTTGCATAAGTAATTTTATAAATGTTCTATTTTCAATGCGATTTTCAAAGATGATAATGTAATAAATTGTTCTGATGTTCAACATGAATAGGTTTTTTTCTGTCAGCTTTGTTTGGGGGCCATGCGTTAAAAAGTACGTACGTAAGGAATAACAGCCGCCTTTATGGCGATTCCTTTCAAATCCTTCCTCCTCGTAAAAAAGGGAACTGAACTCCAAGATAAACCGCCATTGTAAGTCCAGTTTCCTATACAGAAAGTCTGCAACGGGCTGGCGTAGTGGACACGATACAACTCAGTGAGAGACAGCTGGACTCTCTGGGCAGACCACTGTGCCACCAGGAACTCACTGCCGAATGGAATGTGAATACCAGCGAAGAATTCCTCCACCGACGTACTACTATCCATAAACATAAGCCATCGGGCACGGCGAAAATTATCTGAGGCGGAAACCTGCCGAATATAAAAAAAATAACACTAACACTCTCTCAACGTGCAGATGTTATGGTGTTCAATCCTCTAGAGCCAAGTGGCAATTATATTGACCACCACAATTTCCCTAAACAGTTTTAACAAATTCATCGTCGTCATGGAGACGAGTTCTGTTTTCTTTGAGTTACGTACTGATTTTCGCATTAAGCATTTGTATTAACTTTGTTTCTCAAACAAATTCTGGGTTCAAATGTCGTCCCGGAGACCTGCTATCGTGACAGATATTTCATGGTTTTCCTCAGTTCCTAAGGTTAAATTCCAGAATTGCAGGTTTATTATGCCACAACTATTTTTCAAAATGCTTTCCAATTCGTTGTTCATAAATGTTCCAAAGATTCGACTCATTACTCTGCAAGACGTAGTACGACCTTAAGAACAGCTTTATCAAACAAACACAAGGGACATTGCACCATCACCTGCTGGAGGTACCGGCGAATCGTGTGGTCGCTAGATCGGATGACGTTTAGCGGACGGGAACAAAATTCCCTTTTCGAACTCAGGAACACCTCACCGGACAGAAGTACTGACATTACACGTGACTTTGAAAACGAGGAACTTAGAGCTGCTATTTGCCAGTCTTCTCGTAGACCTGCAACATATTTCTAAATGAGAGCTTCAAAATGTCTTCTCCGCGTTACACAAATTACAAGGTCCGAGCTTTCAACGTGTGTACCACGATAATTTTACTAATGAATGAAATAAAATAATTCTGGTTTTCATTTAAATAGACTCCCTCATATTTCCACGGCAACGTACAATTTCTGTTGTTAAAATTCACGAATAATTTTCATTGACCACACAGACAAAGTGAGTCACGTTTAATTAATTAACACCTTAAACCTGAACGTTCTTAAGCAAGATATCTCGTGCGTAATAATCTCAGTACTCGCCCTGGTGGTGTGTATGGCACATCAGGAAGACACAGCAAGAGAAATGTGTGTCCAGTACCCCGACACTAACGGCGACGACTGTGTCCACTGAGAACTCCGATGATTTTACACGCGCCACGAACAAACACAGTATCATAACAGGTATCATGATAACCTCCGGTTGTGCAGTGCAGCCAATCCGTACGAGAAGTTCAAACAAAGCTACAAATTCAAGGGCCACTAAAATTATGTACGTCTTCAGGGTAGACTTTCTTCACTGGGTAGTCGACAGCTGTTAATTCAGTAAAAAAATATATAATTTAACCAAAAGCTTCAATAAAACAGAATGTTTCTAACAAATCTACATTTCTGTTTCTTATACCAAAAGAAGTTCTACCATTTGACCTTGCTCAACAAAGATATAATTAAATTGTCAACTTATTTTAAGCGAGGTTGTTTAACAATTTAATAAATTATTAATTAATTTATTGTGTATTAATTAAAAAACTAGCAAACACTCTTCCATGGGTTTCTCTCACTTATTACCACACATGCTTTATACATCGTGTATTGTTTTTTCCTTCTCCACATCCTCGAGACGAGAGAAAGACAGATGTTTGAAATCTGTTGTACCGCTGTTAACACCACTTTTCAAAATACGTAATGAAGGCTAAATACTGACATACAAAGTTTCTTACAGTACTGATACGGTTAATTGTAGAAACACGGTGTGCCTTCACAGTTAATACACAGCCCAAGTTACACAAGTGTTGTAATAATGTAAAAATAATTCCATTGTGATGCAATCAATATAGAATTGTCTTATTGCGTGACGAAACAATTTCTCTTGTCAAGATTTTCCACATAATGATAAATTACAAATTTTGTTACCAGCTGTAATTACGAACTGTCTTAGAGAAATTTCCTGTCCTGTACTGTAATTATGCACCGTTGGGGACATTTCAACAGACACATAATTTCCACTTTTACTGAATAATTCATGGTGTTATGAGACTAATATCCAAAATAAAATTTAAAAAAAAAACAGTTGAATTATTTGTGAATATAATGACAACCACCTACATGAATGTGACGGTAGCCAGCTCCTAAAAGCGACTTGTAGAAAAATATCCCGCATGTAAGTACGCTGTAATGAATCATACATGAATTGTCAGAGAATCATGAAACAGCTGTCCAGAAAGGAAAACTATTTTTTCAAACACCGCATATAGAAAATTCTACTTCCGAAAAACCTACCGCATTAACTCACAACCTTGCTCCAGTGGAAAACAGTCCCTTTTCAACACAAAATCCCTTTCTACATGGGCCTGTAGAAATAGACGACAAAGTTTGATACTAATAACAAACAAATCCAACTTAAATTCAATGGCCATGCAAACTTCTATACTGGGAACAACATTATATAATCGATTAATATGGACACTCGCAAATTTAATATTTGATTGGTTAAATACCACGTTATTTGTCAGTTGTGGATAACTATATCTCATCTGTAAAAACAGATTAATAATTGGAAAATGAAGGTTTGTACACAGAGTCGAAGGAGGAAATGCTTGTGAAAATCTTTTAAATAAACTGACAAAGAGGTCAGAAATATATTATCAAAGATACTGACACACACACACACACATGTGAACATACATATATAGACATACGATACTTTTGTTGGCCAAGTTATTGTGCTAAATACAATACTTTTCCATTTATTCACATTTCCCAGGCTCTGGCCTCATTACATTAAAGTCAAAAAGACAACATTACAACATCAGCGTAAAAACTTTGAAACTCCTGTCGTGTAAAAAAATCTCTGCTACAAAAATAAAAATGTACGTACTTGCGGTACAAGAAATTCAGCGTAACATTCTAGAAGCGACGTACGTGCGGTCTGATTTTTCATAGCAATGGCTTACAGAAAAAGAAATGACAAGACCCCGACATTACGATCGTGCATTCAGCAGCGTTCCTCACAGAGGCACAAGTAGCCTGGACGCTCATCCTCACTGCCTACGTAATAAAGCTAAACAAAGTAAAGATATCCCACTGCGTGTCATGTAGGCGCTCGGGGGGAGAGGACGTATAGCTCCTACTCATTTTCAAACCTTGGCCCTAGACGCGCTTTACCCCCGGGGGAAAGGACGCCCGGTACCCATTGGACAGGAGCCTGGGTGGGCCCCAGAGGCTACAAGAAAAATCCTCTGCCCCTGTCAGGGATTGAACCCCAATTGTCCAGCCCACGGTCAGTCAATATACTGACTGAGCTACCCAGCTCTTACCACCTACGTAATACGTATATTAATACATTTTCTTTATTAGATTATTTCTACAAAGCAAAGAAACATGGGCACAGTCTTTCTTTCACAGAAACGTGAACTGTCGATCGCGGTCTTGTGGTTAGTCCAGTATGTGGCGACGTTCCACAAAACCACACGAGGACCACGATCGAGATCTTCCCCTGCTGTGAGAATCTCAAATCCTAAGAAAACTCATTCATTCTCTTTCTTATCTCACTAATGCACTACAGAAACAAGCGAGTATACAACTGGACTACTCAATTTTCTGGCAGTCACGCTCAGCTTTCGTGAGAATCTGCCACACCTTGTCACTTAAAACGCATCAAACCATGTACGACGTTCAGGAAATCTCATTCTGGTACAGCTCCTACTCATTCTTAATCTCGGCTCTAGATGGGGGTGAGTGGTCAGCGTCGTGCCGCCACCTCGGGAAAGGACCCCGGTACCAGTCGGACAGGAGGCCGGGTGGGCCCCAGAGCGGGTCTGGACGCAGGGGCTAGAGGAAAGATCCTCTACCCCCGCTGGGGCTCACAACATATTTACAAACCAAATTTAATTTTAGACCAAAGTGGACAACGCTTCACATGAAGCCCTATACGCATTTTTAGACGCCCATACTGAAGCGGACTTCGTAACTGTAACAAAAACCCTCCATATAGCAAAATCATTTAGACTATTAAGTGGAATTTCTTTTGATGCGATTTCCTTGCCGCAACTTCCAGCCCGGCGTTACTGTCGCCGGTTTCAATCCGATCTCAGAGTGTAAATTTCATATAAAGTTCAGTACTGAGCACATCATCGATCGCCAAACGTGTTTGATACGACTACAATTTGCTGTACGGAAGAGTCTGTTACAGACACATTAATTACTGCTCGTTTGTGCTCCTGCCTCCTCCATTTGAACATCCTCAAAACTGTGTAATAAACACAAATACTTAAAATGGCTTCACGACCAAGTGCGTTTTCTTGTGTCGCTTTAACTGATTGCTTCTGATGAACCTTTTACCACAATCCTGACATGAGTATGGCTTCTCACCTGTGTGTAACCTCATATGAATCTTAAGTTCAGTACTTCGAAGAAAGCTCTTTCCACATTCGGTGCAAGCAAATTGTTTCTCGCCAGAATGCATTCTCATGTGGATTTTATGGTCACAACGACGAACAAAACTCTTTCCACACTCTGTACATGTAAAAGGTTTCTCTCCCGTGTGCGTCCGCATATGCTCGTTGAGGTTGCTGCTACGCAGGAACCGCTTCCCGCAGACGGTGCAGTTGAAAGGCTTGTCGTCCATGTGAGACCTCTCGTGCAAGGTGAGCGTGTTACGGAGACCAAAGCTTTTACCGCAGACCTGACAACAGAAGGGTTTCTCGCCCGTGTGCGTCCTCATATGACGTGTCAACGTACTGCTCTGTCCAAAACTTTCTCCGCATTCTGTGCATGAGAAGGGTTTTTCACCCGTGTGGGTTCTTATGTGTAACGTCAGATTACCACTTTGACGAAATGTTTTTCCGCACATCGAGCAACAGAAAGGTTTTTCTCCAGTGTGTGTCCTCAGATGCTTCAACAGACCACTCTTCTGTGCAAAAACATTACCGCACTCATTACAAACAAACCGCTCCTTCTCCTGAATCATCGGCAAAGCTTCAATTAGATCGTCGTCATCAACCACGCCAAATCGATCGAGAGGAGGAAGGAGGACCATTTCCTCTATCTTCACATCCTCTTCTTTAACGACAGAAACATCGACATTCTTTTTCTTTTTCGGACCCCTCCGTTTCTTCGGACCTGTAAAATCTGTCGTAGAAGCATCTTTCTGTCTTCTTAATCCGCCTTTCTTATCAGGAGTGCCATTCGTCTGAGCTGTGCCTTGTCTCTTTTTACTCAATTTCTTTTCCTCTGCGCAGTCTTTCCCACATACGTGTGAACAACAAACCTGATGTATGCCCTCCTTACTGTCGCCCACGTCGGCCGAAGCAATGTCACACTTGAATGTGGTTTCCTTGTGTGATTTGCTGTGTCTTGTCCCAATTTTACCAACTGAAGATCCTGGTTCACATTTTTCCTGCAGATCCAAAGCGTGGGCTAAGAGGTTTCTATTTGGTGACCTATAAGACAAAAGACAGTACATAAGAGACTAAAAAGAGTGTATGATATAAAAGCATTAAACAGCATTACAACAGTCGACCATGAGAATCTCTAATCCCTCTCAAACAGAACTTTACTATTCGTCATACCTGGTCGCCTGGTGATCGAAATGATCCTTTACTTCGGCTTTCACATCAGAGAAGTCATCTCTGCATTCATCACCACTATCAGATGGTGACACTGAATACAACTTCTTGTCTTCTTCCTATAAGAGACAAGTTCCACATTTATGATATGACTTAATTAAAAGGTTTCATCAGTTAACTGCATTAACAAAATCTAATCAATATACTTAATTATCCCACAATTGTGTTTAAAATGGAGGTGGAAATGTAAATGCAATAAAGCAGAGTAGACTTCCAGGAAGAAAATGCAGTTCTCGAAAGAACTTACGACAAAAATCTGGCATTTATCTCACTGCCTCCATTCATGTTAAATGCCCCATGTGACAGTGAAGCGTGTTTACAAATAAAGTGCCAACCAAAACAAAAAAACATTTTAACTTCTTACATTTTGGATCAATTTATTCAAGGACAACCAGAATATACTTTTATGGTTTTAAGTAACAACCACAGCAACAGCTTATAAAATTACCTTCTTAAGCGACCCAATTTAATTTAAAAACTCCTGTAATTGTATCTGTTAATTACCTGATATGAATCTTGCTGTGGATGCAAATTCCTGAGATACTGTCGTAGTGCAATGTCGGAACTCTCGCACTGCAGTTTAAAATTGTACGACGAATTAACTTGCTGGATACACTGATGGCACACTTGCTCTGGCAAACTGTCTCCGGCCAACATCTACGATGGAAATCAACTTAAAAGATACATCCCTAAATATTATTACAAAGAGAAAGGTGATAATTCAACGTATGGAATTCATAACACCTATCTGAGATGTCTCAGTCCGTCTTCTTTCATTCTACATTCCACCACCCAGTTTATCTTCATTGTTTCAGGTTTTTTCCAAATTTGCAAAACATTTCTCCATGGATTCTACTTGTAGCTTCTGATTCTCTGTTGATTTACCATCTTCTAATTTCAGCGACATAACAAAATATGCTTCTTGACTAGTAAATAAATAACTTAGAACTTCATCACTAGAAGAAAACTCCACCAGAAGAATAAAAAAGGAACTAGGATTAAACTTAATTGATGGAAGTGAAGGCAACATCTAAGAAACTTCTTGCAGAAAGTAATTTTGTTTCATTTTTAAGTCTTGACATTCAATTAACAAAATGCACATGGAGCTAAAATTTTGCAATATCTGCTTCTATTAGATCAAGAAACTCACCAGGTTCCATTAAACTCTTAGAGGAACAGGTAATAGGATGGGCTGATACAAATGGGAAAAAACACACATGAAAAAGGTCAGTTTGTGTTTGATTAAATTATGTTATCATTTGTGTGTGCAAACCAATTCCTCAGTTCCCCCACAAGAAGTTTTAACACATCCAGTGGATGATATTAATATTATACAGATTCTAAACACTAATCAAACTATCAACCGGAAGGAGGAAAGCAAACCTAGCCCTCTCCACTCAACTGGCTCATTCATCGCCCTGATGACAGAGGCAGTATGACCTCTGAAACGCTGTCAAACATCTACCATACTACACGGCGTAACAACCCAGAAGGCAGAAATCTTCATTGACATAACAATTCACCAGCAGACTTCTACCCAATAGTAACAATTCCCAGCATGCTGCAACAACTAGTCATCTTGACAAGACTCCAAGACTATGCTACTGATCTACAACCATCATCAAATAATTTAGGTAGTATTTCAAATGAGTATATTTTAAGCAAACTACATTTTTTAACAATTGTTTTATAATAACACATTAAGCACCAAAACTGGTCTCATCAAAGGTGTCCAGAGAATGAAACTGATTATTGATCTCAGAATCCAGCACAAATATTCAGCATTCATGATGCTACTATAAACCTTCATGACATGGTACATAAATACAGGAATAACACTACCATTACTGATTCTCACAAAATCTCAGTCAATTGGCCAGGAACTGAATTATTTTCTAATAATGTCAACCTGTAAAATTAAGCTACAGAAAAGGCTTTTTTCACAATAACGTTTTTAAATCCCAATAACAATATTGCCATCATTCTTAAAGAACAAAAGGAACTTAATTATTGGGTTATATTTTCAACACAACACATTCATGCCATTTCTACAAACCATAAAACTGAGCTCATATTTACAGCATTTCGCGTAAGCGATTTTTAAATAAATAATGGTAACCTAAATAAGAATGCTCATCTGTAAACAAACGAATAACCTTAATAACAGGAGCGAATGTCATAATTCGTGCAGGAAGAGAATCATCTTCACCAAAGAGTGGCAATAACCCATCCTTTTGTCCTAAACACAGACGACATATACTACTGAAATTTAACGTCATATTTAATGAGTTATTTACACCGGCAAACTATTTATAAACCATACTACAGACTTTTTATTTTTAATCAGTCGCCATTTACAAAACGTCACGGCCACTACAACAGATAGTACAATGCAAAGAGTTTTGCTTCCAATGTTCCGCCATCTATCCGCCATGGTTAGAATGTAGTAATAGCGACAGTTCAGCCGGTAATAAAGTTAACTGCTTCTCGATTTACTGAACAAAACATTATCACACAATTTGTAGTACTTCGTGTACAAATAAAAAATAAGCGTCACAGATACTCAGAAAAACACATGGAATTTGACTACCTAAGCCACGACAAGCTTCTATAGAAAATGATTACATAAAATAACAATGAAATGCAAGGTATTTTCAATGCCATTTATTGGAAACATAACAGATTATTCCTCTAAATCTTAGTCAAACTATACAGAATGAAGTATGAAGACTGATGTGTTATCTGAACATTTATTTCAGTGTTTCTAATCTACACTCCACTCGTATGAATGTCCCTCCCTTTGGTAAAGTGCTACCATATCTCTGCTACCACAAACCTTCTGGTATATCACAAAACAGCATTAACACATGCAAAATTCTTTGTTCACCCCCTCCACGGTGAGGCACAGGGTATGGAGGGGTGGAAATGAAATCCTTCAATTTCCAGAATACATATCCAAAATACAGGCAACAGAAAGGAATTCCACGCGACAGCTGAGTTTCCTCCAGGAGGAAAGATCACTTCATGCCTCTGAGAAGAAACAGCAATGTGGTCTGAAATACCATTTCATAACCATGTATTTAACCACATCCATTTCACATCACCAGAGAGGAATGTGGAACCATCTGGTGGCTATGTTTCAAGAGAAACTTGCACAGAACTTGCAGCTACTCTGACCATCCTCGTGCCCTCACCCACCCCGGAATACGATGACCTAACAAACAAAAGTGCTAAGGAGCAAAATTTTGATGATGGTGAACAGCTACAAGTTCTTCAGCTTGTGTTTTGCTTCCAACCGGAAGCTTCGAACATCATTTATGACGACAGATCGCACGGATAAACTTAAAACTTTGCAGCACATAAATACACAGGCAGGGCCCATAAAAAGCCAAGTAGCTAAGGAGCAGAGTATCAGTGAAGTTTCAGTCATTGATAAACTGATCCTCAGGTATATCAGCTGATTAAGGGTCCCTGCCAGACAAGATGCAGCTAATCCTACTTCTTAAGACAAATACAATGCAATTAACAGACAAAAATATTCCTGGAAGAAAGCGGACGCATTAGCTGGAATAGCTGCAACTTGCCTACCACAGCCTGACACTCGTAGCTCCATACCAGCTAAGTTACGCAAATAAAATTGCTCTGAGAACGCGTAGCACACAGTTTCGCAGAGAACGCGGAGAGCGTTTTGCGACTACGACGCAGTCAGACAGAATTCTTGTGGAGCACAATTTTAATTTTTGAAACACTACTTTAAAACAGAACCAAGTAGTGTTTCATAGTTGTGTCTGCGGAGAATGGGGAATATTCAGCCACCAGAAACACGATTCGGCGAGTGGATTTTCCGGATCGCGTCAGTGCTGTTGAACACTTCCCACCCTGTGATCAGATGGAGGCAGAATGTATGCAGGGTAGATAATTTATTTTAGTGAAAAGAGATTGGCAGAAAAACCAAACTTGAGGACCAGGTCAAATGGGACAGTTGAATTGAGATAAATTAATTGTGGTTTTGATTAAATAGAGCTGAATTGGACCAGGTCAAATGGGACAGTTAAAATGAGATAAATTAGTTGTGGTTTTGATTAAATAGAGCTGAATCTTACAAATCTTTTGAGTTAGAAGTATGAGAATTTGAGCTGAAATTCCAGTTTTAATTCAGAACAGAATTCATAACATCTTGGACAACATTTTACCCTAAAATAACAAAGAGATGAAACCCTGAGTATCCTGGGCATTAGCAGCAATACTCAGGTGACTTGGAATAAGGGAGGAACCTCGGAGTATCCTAGGGCATTAGCAGCAATACTCCAAAGTAGACGTGCACGCATTCTGCTGCTTTCTCCATCCGCGACTGGTACGGTTTGGTACGCGGCCATGGTTCTGTGGCAACCCGTAAAACTTGTCGGAATCCTACCATTTGAAGAGGTCCCCTGATGTCCTGTGCCGCAGGAATCACAGATGTTGATGAGATGATGATGCTGTATTCTTGTGGCCACTTGCATTTGATGACTGTCCCACGATGTTTAGTCGTTGCCTCGTACATTCATCACTCGTGCCTGCAAAACAACCGGCATCAGTAAACTGTCTTGTTTTGTGGTCTGTACTGATCGAGTTGCTATTCATTAAGCATTTACACTGAACCTAAAGCTCCTTTCTTTTATCACTATTTTGAAAAAATTATACGTGAAAAGATATTCAGCATGAACATAATTACGTTCTCATATTTAATGGTTTAAATTCAGCAAATTAAAATTAGCATAGGCTGAAGGACGTATACAAACAAAAACAAAAGAAATTGAAATTTTTTGAAAAAACTGCCTTACAAAATATTAAAATCTGCTTTAAATATTTAGTAAAACAACTACAACTGAAATTTGTGAACCTGACCTTTCAGGATCTCTGGATATAAGTGAAAATGAGGACAATGTGTTTACGTTTATTAATGAATACAGACATTAAGACTATTTTTAAACCATACAAAGAGAAAAAAACACTGCGTTTCTGGAATGGAGAATCATTATTGCAGCTTTATACTTCCTCATTTGTAAATGATTTAAATTGAACAGGAAAGAAAAATTTATCACATATAGCAAAAAATAAATAAATAAAAATACAAAATAAATCTTCCATCACAAAAGACAAATATACTAACAACTTCCATAACTTAAACTCGTCATGAGGATATTCTAAGACAAAATGGTTGGATCCTCCTTATTTAGAACATCAATTGCCACCAGCAGCTCCTATCTCTTTTAATAATATATTACATGTATAGAACACGTAACTTGGTTAACATCCTAATCGAAACATTACCACATAAATTCAGAGTACCACTTTTGCAGAAAACCAGTGGCTCTGTACTGAAGACATCGTGAGGGGCACTCAATCAGGTATATTCAGGGGCAATCCATTATTCAGTCTCTGAATGCATGTAGAGGCTTACTAATAATGCATCACTTCACAAATCATCAACATTTAAATAGACCTAATTCAGTATTATATTGTATTACATTAATAAATAAAATTATGGAAGATAATATTAAAAAACTATGGTGTATTATTAAACAAAAATTATTTGGGGGCCTTTTAAAACTATTTAAAATAGATGAATATATGTTTCAGTACCATTATGCTATGTTTGAGACTGTAATTCACGTAAACCCAAAAGCTTCACCGCGAAGAGTCCTATTGTACTTCCCCAGTGATTTTGGTGCGCCGAAACACGTACCATGGCGTAAATTAATAATAATAAAAAAAAAGAGCCTGAAACCACTTTGGCATAAGTTGTGCCGGATGGTCTATTAAAATCAAAACAAAATGAGAAATAGATTATTCCTGATCTTAAAATAGACTTGATTCATTTTAGCAAACTAATGATGGTGCTTCGTAATCCTATTAGATGGTCCAATCTCTTTAGAACTCTCAATTCAGAACTGTCTATTTCACTCACACACTAAGAACTAAAGAACAGTTACGTCCACCCCCACCCCCCACTCCCTCCTCAACCCCCTGACGTAGCAAGCGAACAGAAAAAAAAACTTTCATACAGTAAACAAGACGGAAAAATTAAACGGGGCTAAGTCCAACACAAAAACCTGATTGATAATTACGTTTATTCAGCTCTGTAAATGTAGACCCGTCCGTGGTGTTAACAGAAATCTATGCTTTATGTATAGACAAGCCTATTAAACAAAATTTTGTATCAAGTCTACGGAGACCTATTTGACTTCGCTCGTCGTCAAGGTAGCAGACTTGCTCCAGCAAAGACCACGCACTGCACCTTCCACCAGCCTCTGTCATTGCCAGAAACAGAGCAAACAAACAGTCTTCGCACTAAAAATGAACAACGTACTTGCATTCCATTAAAATTAACTGCTATAATGCACAGGGTGTTGGATCAAAGTTCCAAGAATGAAACCTTCGTTTCGAAACAGTGACTGAAATAGTCAATACTTTATTATTATATTTAATAAAATTATTTTCCCCTTCTCACTCCTTAATTACAACTTTTATTTCAGTAGCAGAAATAATTATCATTCACATTTTATAAATTCACTTCATTTTGGTGTTACACGTTTGTGTTTTTACTCGTGATTTGGCTCTTAAAGTCAACACGTAAATAAATCAGCCCCGCTACACGCCATGTAGGTCTTTTGGGGAAGGGGGGATAGGGGTTATAGCTCCTACTCATTCTTAACCTTGGCACTAGATGGGAGTGTGTGCTTAGCGTCACGCCTCGACCGCTCTTTATCCCCGGAAAAGGATCCCGGTACCCATTGTAGAGAAGGCTGGGTGGGCCCCAGCGCCGTATATACACAAAGGCTAGAGGAAAAATCCTCTGCCCCTGTTAAGATCGAACCCCAGTCGCCCAGCCCGTAACAAGTCACTATACCGACTGAGCTATCCCGGCTCACAAACTCAGCACGTAAATAAATACAGCATGTCTTTAAGGACTGAAAAAAACCATGAAAAATTTCAATCAGGATAGGCTTACTTTGAGTCGAAAGCAAATACAGTGTAGTAGTTACATTCTGGAGGGGGTAGCATAAATTAAAAATTTAGTCATGAATTTCAGTTAATAGTGGTAAGCCTGGTCACGGCTCAAGAAATATAACTGCATTTTAATACGCATTTATCAAAAACCAACTTCACACTTTCTCGTAATTATTTTATAACAGCAAAGTAAAAAAAAAAAAGTCTCCACTGATCTATTTCAAGAGTCATGATAAAATATATTTATACCGTACACTGAACAAAAAATATTTCTCATTGCCCAAATGAATCAGTACACCTCCATTTTAGAAAAAAAGACTGATAATGGCTGTATTACTTACCTCCACGTCAGTAGAACGAAGAGAAAAGTCACGTCTTATCTTACCACATCACAATTAACCACCATTTAAATTATTTAAAAAACAACATTACATTTCAAAATTAAACATACGCTATCACTTTAAACAAATAACGTCAAGAATTCTTAACATTACTAATAAAACAGAGTTTCAACCACTACTTCCTC